ACAGAGAATAATGGCTGATGGACGTGGAGGGGACTGTATATCAGGTGGTGAGGGAAAGCCTTTCTGATCTCTGCTAAGAGGTCACTGTATCACTCACCTCTGGTTTGTTTTCAATGCCGCCTCTGTTTGAATATGAAAGGGTATCAGACCCCTGGTCATGTGGGGAGGCAGTGGCAAGGATAGGATACCTGGATACAGAGCCAAGGGCGGACCAGATTGAAAATTCAAAGCTATTTTTTAAATGGTATAAAAAACATACAATATAAAATTTACCATCTTAACCATCTCTAAGTATACAGTTCAGCAGTGTTACATATATTGCCTTTGTTATGCAACAGACCTCTAGAACTTTTTCATCTTGCAAAATTGAAACTCCATAGTCATTGAACAAGTCTCATTTCTTCCTCCCTTCAGCCCCTGGAAACCAGCATCCTACATTTTTGTTTCTCTGAGTTTGACTACATTAGATATCTCATATACATGGACTCATATAGTATTTATCTTTTTGTGACTGGCTTATTTTATTTACACAATGTGTTCAAGGCCCAGAAACTATCTTTGGATAATTTCTATTTTCTTTTTTTTTTAAATATATTTTTATTGATTTTTTATAGAGAGAAAGAGAAAGGAATAGAGAGTTAGAAATACCGATGAGAGAGAATCATCAACCAGCTGCCTCTTGCACAACCCCTACTGGGTAGTACATGCCCTTTACCGTAATCGAACCTGGGACCTTTCAGTCCGCAGGTCGATGCTCTATCCACTGAGCCAAACTGGCTTTGGCAGATAATTTCTATTTTCTTAGTAAAATAGAAACAAATGTCATTAGAAGATGAGAATGTGGAGCGAAGTTTACACAGAGAGAGGGTTTGGAACCCTTTTCTAGGACAGCTAGAAGAAAATGGACTAAGGGAATGCACAGGATCACACCAAAGACTCACGTGAGGTCATGGATTTCAGTTGAAACCTGTCAGCATTGTCATATATTTCTCCCCTAATCATGTTTCGCTACTGTATGTCAAACAGGTGGGTATGGCTATAACTAGGGTAGGGCTTTGTCAAATAAGTTCAACAGAGGGATGAAAAGGGAGGGAGCTGATGGTATAAGCAAGGGAATACTTTTTATTTTAAGTATTTTTTTTTATTGATTTCAGAGTGGGAGAGATAGAAACAACAATGATGAGAGAGAATCATTGATCAGCTGCCTCCTGCATGACCCACACTGAGGATTGAGCCCACAACCTGGGCATGTGCCCTTGACTGGAATCGAACCCAGGACTCCTCAGTCTGCAGGCTGATGCTCAATCCACTGATACAAACCAGTTAGAGCAGAACTGCTTTTAATAGGATCCAAAGTATAGAGCAGTGAGAACATGACTAAAAAAAAAAAAAAAAAAAAAAAAAAAGTAAGACCAGAAAGTTGTATATTCTGGTGGGTGGGATTATAAAGATCACTGCAGCTATTTCTTACCTGGATTGCTGCTGAAGCTTCCTTACTTCTTATTCTTTCTTATCCTTTCTCACTGGTGTGACCTTGACACGAAAATCTAATGAAATTATTACCTTTCAATCAATCACTTGAGCTCTTGTCCATATCCCAAGCCTCATCCTCAGTACTTCTTCAGCATCTTAAATACCTTTAGAATCTTCAGTTGAGATTTCATTCTCTATTATACCTTCAAGACTTTGCACATGGTTTCCCTTTACTTTGACCACTTCTCTCCCATCTTCTACTGGCTTTCACTCACCAGCTTCAATTTCACTTCCTTCTGGAAGAATTACTTGGTATTCCCAGTCTCTATTGAATGCCTTTGATACCCACTTGCAAAGCATCCTGTATTTCCCCATGCTGGCATTTAATATTAATGCTTATTTGTTACTTATATTTTAATTCTCTGTATTTTCTATCTGGGAGGGAGAACTTGTATGAATAGCTCACTCTATATATGAAGCATATGGTATTTTATAGATGATTGGATAAAGAAGATATAGTACCTATATGCAATGGAATGCTACTCAGCTAGAAGAAAAGATGAAATACTGCCATTTCTGACAATGTGGATGGGTCTTGAGGATATTATGCTAAGTAAAACAAGTCAGACAGAAAAAGTTAAGAATCATAAGATGTCACTCATATGTGGGATACAGAACTGAAAGCAACAAATGAACAAACAAGAAAAAACAAAGAAAGAAAAACTCATAGGCACAGACAACAGAAGGAAGGACAGCTAATAAAGGGCAGAGGAGTTAAATAAGTAGTGACAGAAGGTTTGACCTTGGGTGGTGGACGCACAGTGCAATATACAGATAATGTATCCTGGGACTGTACACTTGAAACGTATATAATTTTATTAACCAAAGTCACCCAATAAACTTAATTTAAAAAGTTAAATCCTAGCACAGGAGATGCTTCATAAAATGACCCTACTTCCTCCTTCTTGAACTCTTCTCCAGGCTACCAGGACATCTCACTCATCTGACTCCTCCATGCTCAGTAGCCACTCCTCTCCTCCCAGACCTCCAGCTATTTTTAAAAAATTTTTATTATTATTTTTAAAATATATTTTATTGATTTTTCACAGAGAGGAAGAGAGAAGGATAGAGAGTTAGAAACATCGATGAGAGAGAATCATCGATCAGCTGCCTCCCGCACACCCCCCACCAGGTACATGCCCTTGACCCGGGACAGCTTCAGTCCGCAGGCCGATGCTCTATCCACTGAGCCAAACCAGTTTCGGCGTCCAGCTATTTTTTTTAAAAAAAATGTTACTATTATTATCATTAATTCTCACCTGAGGATATACTTAGAGAGAGGAAGGGGGAGAGAGAGGGAGAAAGAGAGAGAGAAACATTGATGTGCGAGAGAAACATTGATCGGCTGCTTTCTGTACATACTTCAGCCAGGGATTGAACTCGAAACCCATGTACGTACCTTGACTTGGAATTAAACCCGACAACCTTTTAGTGCACAGGACAATGATCAACCAATTGAGCCATTTCGGCCAGGCCTCACCAGCTTCTTAAATATACAAATGTCCCTGTAAAAGCATCCAACTAAAACCTAGTTGGCCAATATCTTTCTTATCAGATAGTTGCTAAAATCAACATGCCTCCTAAAACAGTGGTTGCGGAGATACGTTTGGAGGGGAAATGTGTTGGGGAGAAAAAACTTGTCTTTCTCAGAACTTCATCTTAAGCCGGCCCTAACCAAGCCATCCACAAGCAACTTCTCCGCCACACTGGCTCAGAGGAACCGGCTCTGCTGACAGGCAGTGAATTATCTTGCTCAGCATCAGTGACTCATCTGTTGCTCTGAAATCTCGATGCCATGTAAAGGGCACGGCAAACCATCTAGAGTGAGAGCGAGATAGCCCTGCTCCTGGCTTCTCCTTTTTCTCCTCTCCCGTGTAAACACCACCCAAGGCTGAGGGCTGGAGGTTTGTTACTCTGGCCACTTAACAGAGTCTCTAACAATTATTTAAACTTTTTACCCATAGGAATTCAAAAGTTCTAGTTACATCATAGATTGGTGAAGAAAATAGGAGTTAGTTTTTTTGTTTGTTTGTTTTTGTTTTTGTTTTTAGAACCGTTTATACCATCTAAGAAGCAAGGAATGGAAAGAATGACCATTGCTATCGGGTTGTGCATTACCAAGGCAAATCTGTAAAATTAGAAAAGAAAGTATTCCAGCCACCTCATTTCCCCTTCAAGTTGCCTTTCTTCATCCACTGGTATACAAATGCCTTACTTATCTCAAAGTCTGCTCTCAAGAAAGGATATCTAGGCTCAAGGTGGAAAGACTTCAAAATGAGGACCCAGTATGTCCTGGGTTTGGTTCAGATCTTGACTCTGCTACTTGTTAACTGTGCCGATGTGGGCAAGTTGCTTCACTTTTGCATGTCCATTTCCTCATTCATTGGAGCAGTGGTCAGGGTAGAAGAGGGAAGTGATGGAGATAAAAATGCCTAACTCTCATTTTACATGAGTGTTCTTTTTTAAAAAAATATATCAATATATATTTTATTGATTTTGTACAGAGAGAAAAGGAGGGAGATAGAGAGTTAGAAACATCAATGAGAGAGAGTCATCGATCAGCCGTCTCTTGCACACCCCCCACTGGGGATATGCCCGCAACCAAGGTACATGCCCTTGACCGTAATCGAACCCGGGACACTTCAGTCCCCAAGCCGACGCTCTATCCATTGAGCCAAACCGGTTTTGGCTACATGAGTGTTCTTCTCACTCAACAAATATTTACTTAGTCTTACTATGTGCTATGCCTTCAAAAACACCAGAAAACAAGACCTAGGACTGACCCACAAGAAGCTTATGGTCTCGTTAAAACTTTTAATATATGCACACCATGTAATTGCTAGGAACTTTCACATACATTAACATTAACCAATTTCCCACAACAGGAGTTGTTATCGCTCAGAATCCTGAGCACTTCCAACCTCCACTCCCAATGGTCTTTGACTGAGTAATTGTTCTTTCCATAAATATCTATTGAGGGCCTACTGTGCGCCAGGCTGTGTGCTAGGTACTGGAGATTTAATGGGGAACCTGCTGCTGGAACAACTGGATTTCATCTGACTAATGTGTGATTTGCTGAGCATATTCAAACAACACTCAGAATGTTTTAGAGTGAGGGTCTCCTGTTACAGTGTGAATCCTCTTATTCAGCAGCTTGACATGAAATCTCTGTGTTTCCTACATTCCCTGAAAAGATAAATACAACACAAGCTCCCAAATGGATAAAGGGAAGACAACAAGTTTTTATCAAGTGCCTTCCCTGTCATCCTTCCATGCATTTTCTCATTTAACCTTCAGAGCTAGGATGTGAGAAAGACATTATGGTCCGTTTACAGAAAAGAAATGGAGATCAGAAAGGCTGAACACAGATGGCACTTAACAAGTGTATTTTCGAGGTTACAGTTTGAAATTAAAAGACCATAAAATATCATGGCATAATTAATTAAATTAATGCTTATTTCCTAACAGCCCCGACGATGGGAACAATCCAGGCTGTTGGAGCAGCTCTCCTCCATGATGTCATTCCAGGACCCAGGGTCCCTTCATCTTGCCACTGCCATTTGTTGCCAAAGGTTGGTGGCTGCCATGTCCATATTCCAGCCTATGAGAGGGAGAAAGACAACATTTAGGGCAGGTAGCTTTGTCCTGAAGGAGATGATAAATCCTTTCTACTTACACCCCACTGGCCTCAACCTGGTTGTATGGCCACACCTACCTGCAAAGGAAGCCTGGGAAGTGGAGCCCATGCCTGGGCAGCCACGTGCCCTGCTAAAACACACGATGTCCTATTACTAACTATAAGCTGACAATGAGTACTTAGGTCAGTTAGTAGTTTCTGGCATAGCTAGTAAACGATGAAGCGGGAATTCAAACTCCGATTTTCTGCTTGAAGCCAATTTCATGCCACTGCCTCTTAGACACAAGAGCTAGAGAACTCTGGTTCTCCATCCATTTGTCTGCAATGCAGAATAACAGCAGCAACATTTTATTGTTATAGTTTAGGAGTAAGCCATTGGAATTGTGTGTCAACTTCTCAGAAATGCAGGGTATTGTTTTTTTAACTTTTCTTCCCATAGATTCTGATATTCCTCCCCACCTCCAGTTTTTCTGGAAATATCTCAAGCTTCTAGTAGTCTGGTTCTGTGACTCAAGTGAACTACTTGTTAAGTACGTTTCAAAAGAAAGAGGAAAAATACAGCCACTTCAATAAAATTGCCACTTCCTTGCTAAATCCTTAAGAGGAAATATTTTAAAGGAAGTATGATGCAGCAGACTATAGGGGTGTTTAAAGTTGGCTAATATGGAAGAGTCCATCAGGAAGACTAAGTGAAATCCCTCCCTTTTTTTTTTTTTTTTTTTTAAGGTTACTTTCCGAGATTCTTGAAAATATATCTTAGGATAAAAAAAGGAATATACCTTGTTAGTATATTCTTGGCAAAGAAAGAAATAATGATATTTTTTAAAGGGTGGGTTAAAAAAAACTACCCTATCCATTTAAAACTACTGTTTCTATAATATGGCAGGCTTTTGTTTTTATTTATTTACTTTTCATCTTTTGAGTAAATTATAAAACCCTATATTTTCTAATCTTTCAGTTTATATATTTTTTCTTAAAGAAGGCCCCTCACATTGTGTGAACTTCAAGCCCTACGAAACCTAGACCCACCTTGTGAATTACTGTATTCCTGGGCCTAGAGTGCTACCTATCATAGAATAATCACTCAATAAATGCTTGCTAATAAATGAATGGTACCTGACATTTTATAGGAATTTCTAATGTGTCTTTCCATTTTAGGGAGGGAATTCCCATTCCTCTCACATGTGTGTTGCACTTGACTTCCACATGAATCTTCTGAAAATTCCACTTTTATCATGTCACTTCCCTATCCTAGAAATCTTCAACAACTTGAATCCACATGGAGAATGCAGTTCAAATCTTCTAGCCTAGTGGTCTGCAAACTCATTAGTCAACAGAGTCAAATATCAACAGTATAACCATTGAAATTTCTTTTGAGAGCCAATTTTTTAAAAACTTAAACTTCTTCTAACGCCACATCTTCAAAATAGATTCTCCCAGGCCGTGGCATTTTGTAGAAGAGCCACACTCAAGGGGCCAAAGAGCTGCATGTGGCTTGCGAGTCGCAGTTTGCCCACCACGGTTCTAGCCTATTATTCAAGGCCTGCCCCGGAGGTTCCCATCCTTACCTCCTACCTCTTGTCTTCATGAACACTGCATCACAGACAGCTCTGCTTACTGCTTCGTGAGCATTCTTACTCCTTCCATCCTTCCAGACTTCACAATTGCTACTTACATCATCTAAACATCCGCTTTCCGCCTATCTCTGCAAGAGCCTTCTCCGTGGAGCCTCCTAGATTCCAGCAGACCCAGTGTTCCCTCCCTCTTCTGAACTCTCCAGGCACACCATTCATTCAGAACTACCTTCTTCCCATCCCCCTCACCGCCCCTGCCTCCGCTCCTCCAGCCCCTGCTCTCACCCCAGCCCCCCAGAACTGCCTTCTATTACTAGTTTCCTTCCCTTGTCTCTGGTCCTTCTGTCCTTCTGGGTCATACGAGCATTTTTCCAAGGGACTATTCTCCCTCACTGGAGCCATCCCTAGTGTAAAGCCTTCCAGTTGAGATTGTAGAGATCCTAACAAGATCTGTTGGATTGTATATTTGGAGCCAAATGGGAAGAAATGACAGAATTTCACGACTTCCCTAGAACCAAATAAAATCAACAGAAATGTCAACAGAAAAGAAATAAAGTCAGAAAAGAATGGCAATATAATACTTTAATGCAAGTTTCTAAATCATAAATTCTTCAAGGCAGCTCTCTAATAGTTCTGAAAAGTACCTGGTTTGGGGGAATTTGTTGTAAGATTGTAACCCCAAAGATATCACAGTGGAGCAATGGGTAAAGTGATGACCATAGAGGTGGTCATTGATGGCAGCAATGTGTAGAGAGCTCTGGTCCTTGGAGGGGGATGAGACCTCGTCAGCAGAATTTACTCTGTTACTGCCTTCTAGGTTGCAACAACAAAGGAAAGAAAGTTTTTCCAAAGGAAAGTATAATTTCTATTTCATTTTTTAAAATGGTGACATTTCCCCCCAAAGCATGATGAGTCTTCTTCAAACTGTACTTTTAGGAAATGAGGAAGAGCTTTTGCCTCCTGCTAGCATCAGGCTGTGTGTGTGTGTGTGTGTGTGTGTGTGTGTGTGTGTGTGTTTTAGCGATAGGCAAAACCAAAATTCCTTAGTAGAAGTTAACATTACAGTCCTAAAAAATTCACTCAAACATACTATTTTATTTCAGTTCAGACTCATTTCCAATTGTATTTAATCTTTTCCAGGCTCGTTATTACTTTCCCTTGTAGTTTCCACTGTGAAATGACATTTTTAGTCTCTTTTGCCCTCTATTGAATTGCTCTGGTAATAGCAATAACTAGCAAAATGCTAGTTCTCTAGCAGGCGGGAAGACATAAATATTTTATTTCAGATCAGTGGTGTGTATAATTGTTGCTATAGAGAAAATCTTTGATTGCTGCCCAAATCTGGAGGCCTATTAAAAATTAATTTCTGGGTCTTTTCCACCTATCAAAAAGAATACTTTATAACATATAAGCAAACCCTTCCCTGCTCCTATGACAAACTATCCTCCATTTGCAAGGGGATGAAGCCAGAAGAAATGCAACTCACCCAAAGGGATAGAAATTAGATATTAGAGAGTAATTTCTTCAACAAGTACTAAAATTTTTGGGAGAGAAATATTGTCTTTTCTAAGCATCCTTAAAAAATGGGATAGATTCATTTGTCTGCATATCTTTCTGTTAATATTGACAACTTCTGAAACATCATACAAAAGCAAAATAGGAAAAAATAGATCTGAAAGTAATTAATATATTAGCTTGCCTTTATAAACATTTGAAAAAAACGAAGTCCATACTAAGAAATTGGAAAACTATAATTCCATAGTAATTAGATGCTATTCAGAAGTTGTACTTACAGAATTCCAACCACAAAAAAGAAAAGATTAAAGCAAATGTTCTTATGGCAACAACGGCAGAAGTATAATACATGAAGTTTTTTTTGTAAGTGGGATTTGGTTACTGGCTGACTCATCTCATTATGTCCAGATGAATGAACTACTAAAGAAATAGATAATCCCGAAGCTTAATTTTGTGCATCAGTTTCAAAGGCTCTCAGCTGAACTCAAAGCTGTTATGGTAACACAAGTAACTGATCTATCGTCTGCTGCTCCTCGTTTTCCTCCTAATAGAATGGGATGTACACCCTAAAGGGATAAAAAGTTTAGCGAAGCATAATGATAGGTGAGCTATACATATATGCCCCCCACAACACTCAAGACTGATCAAAGGGTCAATGTAAAAAACAATCTAATGGGATTTTTAGAAATTTGAGATTTCCCTTGTTGCTATGTGTTATGCAGCTAATTACCTTCCTGGGATTTAAGATAGGAGAGGTTAAAAGTACTAGTTAAGGAAGTAGGCTCCAGAGTCACACAGTACTGGTTATGCCATTTATTGTTGAGTGACCTTAAACAAGTTTTTAAACCCTCCAGGCCTCAATTTCCTCATGTTTAATGAAAGAGATACAATTTCATAGAGTTGTTTTATTATGTTATTTTTTATTTTTTCCATTGTTTTTATTTATTTATTTATTTATTTATTTATTTATTTATTTATTTATTAGAGAGACTGGAAGAAATGGAGAGAGACAGAGAGAGAAACATGGTTGTGAGAGAAACACATTGATTGATTGCCTTCAGCACGCACCAAGATTGACCGGGGCCATTGCAACTGAAGTAGGTGCCCTTGACGGAATTTAACCTGAGACCTTTCAGTCTGTGGGCCGATGGTCTAACCACTGAGATAATCAGCTAGGGCTTGAAGAATAAATGAAACAATATCTGTAAAATACTAGGAAAAGGCTTGGCCAGAACAGACTTTTGATTAATAAAAGTCATTATTAGCACCACTAACAATGGGCATAATTCTCAACGTTATCTTATTATTTTTAGCATTAATAATAAAGATAATAGTAACAACCTTAACAGGGAGAATTTCCCTTACCATTTGTTGGGAAAGAAAGCTAAGAGAAGAAGTCAGACTTTTGTGCTTGCTCCTTCCCGATTCAATACACATTGTGTTAGTTAGAGGCTGTGGCCCAGGACAGGGAAAGGCCTGCAGGATTCCTTGGCATTGCCCAGGGGACCTATCTAGTCTCTGCCTCCTGCACTTTCTAAGCAGGATTCAGAGCTATTAGGTTATTGATCAGCCTTGGGAGCTTTGAGCAGTCAGTTAAGTGGTTCTTTGTTTCAGGTATGCATAGTCCTGATTTAAGCCAAGAATTAGAATGAGGGAATTATTAGACTGTTTAACTTTTTTTCACATAGAAAACTGTTGCACAACCCTGAGCACGAAAAGTCAGACAGGATGAGATTTGTATTGACAATACTGTACATACCTGTAACTCTGAAATAACAAGGAGCCATTTGTTTCAAATATAGTAATTTACAACTTACTTTTATTTTTTGTCATTGCCTTGTGTGGGAGGGTGAGGGTGTTGACATATATTATCTTCTAGTGCAGCATTAGCTCCTCTTTCAGATGCTTTTTGTGAATTACACATACAGGTGAGGAAGGTGACCTTGAATTTGGAAGAAATTACTTCCAAGAACAAAGTGATTATCTATTGATATGCACCAGGGGGAGATCTGGGAAGTCTGAGCAACATGACCAGGGTTGAGTCTCTGAGAGGTAGGGCTGGAAAAGTTGAGATTTCACCACCTCTCTGAAGAAAGACAAAGTTATAAAGAGAATGAGGAAGGCTGAATAGCAACGAAAAGGCAAAAATAATTCAATTAATTTTATTTTTCTCAAGGGGACAAATGGAATCTGAAAAACTAATATGAACTAGCATGAACTAGTATGAACTAGTAACTCAACAACTATGTTTTCTGAGGAGGCAAGATGGAATATTAAGCTTTTATGATCTGGATGACATTTCACTCAGAATTATATCCCTTCTTAGTCTACTGCCTTTTATCTTCTCTTTCTTGGTAAATTTAGTTAATATCTATCAGATGGCTGCTGTGTGCAAAATTCTGTGCCAGGCACCTTGGTCACAGCAGAGAGCAAAAAGACACCCTGTTCTGGCCAGCTTAGTTATTATGGTAGCAGGAAAGACTACATAGTTCTTTATTGCAACCTAATTGGGATTTTGATTTATGCATCAATCTGAAATACATTGGTTAATGTGAGTCTGTAAGAGGCTGATTATCTAGATACATGGACCAAATTGAGTTTCTAAACCTACTAAGCAAGAGCCAAACCATCAACTGTGGAGGCACACAGAAGACACTGTGGCCCTAAGCATTGCCTCTGTGGGCATATTTCTCTGAGAACTAACCCATTCTCATTACTTTCACCAGGAAGGAGCAGTTCTTTAAAAAAAAAAATTATATATATATATATATATATATATATATATATATATATATATATATATATATATATATTAATGATTTCAGAGAGGAAGGGAGAGGTGGGAGAGAGATAGAAACATCAATGATGAGAGCGAATCATTGATCAGCTGCCTCCTGCATGCCCTATATTGGGAACTGAGCCTGCAACCCAGGCATGTACCCTGATCAGGATCCTCTTGGTTCATAGGCTGATGCTCAACCACTGAGCCACACTGGCTGGGTTTGGAAGGAGCAGTTCTTATCCTATTTCATCTACTCTGCCATATAAATGCATGTGTTTTGAAAAATATGAAACACAAACATTGATTTTTGGTTTTGTTTCTAGTGGCAGTGTCTCCTGCCCTGCCCCGGACTCCCTGTGTGGTATGCACATGCAACTCTGAACAGGTAAAGCAGCAGGGAGAGGGTGCTGGGAACAGAGATGAATGTGAAAGGGATTTTTCTAAGTACAAAAATGGTGCTAAAAGCCAATGAATATAATTCAACAGCTAAAGAAAGTGTGTGATGAAAACCATGATTGCACAGCATTTATCAAGCTCTTTACATTCCAAATTTCAAGAATTAATTCTACAATATTTTTGTTATTTTATATCCTGAAATTACCCAAGGCACTGATCTAAATCTAACCATGCAATTATAAATTTCTTAAAAAGTCATGAAGTCCTTTACAAATTATTCAGTTACTCAAGATTAAGTGTTATACTGGCTATTATATTATCTAATAAATCCTATTATCGATTATTTGTTCAAATGATTTACACATTTTACTACATTTTTTTTTTTTTGCTTTCTGCCTAGTAAGTAAGTCTTAAACCCTTAGAAGATGAGATTAAAACTGCTTGGAATAATATATTTTACATGAACAAAATGATTCAAAAACAACTGCAAAACAAGCAATTTAATTGCATCTACTTAAAATTGCTAAAATAAAAAAAAAAAAGCTCCATTTATGGGACTTTAAATTGTCCTCTATTTTTATTTAGTCTTTTATTTTTACCCAGTGTTTTGAATTATTATTTATTGATTTATTTTTAAATATATTTTTATTGACTTTTAGAGAGAGAGAGAGGAAGGGAGAGGAATAGAGAGACAGAAACATTGATGAGAGAGAAACATCATTTGTTGGTGCCTCCTGCATGCCCCCTCCTAGGGACCAAGCCTGAAACGAGGGCATGTGCTCTAACCAGGAACTGAACTCGTAACCTCTTGGTTCATGGGTCTACACTCAACCATTGAGCCACACCAGCTGGGCTACTGACTGATTTTAAAGAGATAGAGGAAGGAAGAGAGAGAAAAACATTGTTGTTCTACTTATTTATGCATTCATTGGTTGATAATTGTAAGTACCTTGACAAGGGATTGAAGCCACAACCTTGGCATATTGGGACAATGATCTAACCAATTGAGCTACCTACTCAGCCAGGGCTACCCAGTACTTTATAGAACTATTTGTTTTTCTTAATTACTCTGACCCAACCATACAATGGGAATGGGAATAGATAGCACAAACATACCCTGACACACTTATGCAAAAAGCTCATATTGAACTTGACTAATATGCACAAAACATGTCCCCAAGGCTCTTTTTCCATGGCACAACTCTGGCAGTGATCAATAGATTGTCTCTCTTTGAAGGCCATCACTCTTATTGAAAAGAACTTCAACCAGGTGTAAATAGAGTTTCCCATTATCCATGGGGAATACCTTTCAAGAACCCCAAAGGATGCCTGAAACTATGGATAGTACTGAACCCTTTATATACTATCTTTTCCTTAAACATACACACCTATGATAAAGTTTAACGTATAAGTCAGGTACAGTAAGAAGAGGAACAATAATAACTAATAGTCAAATACCGTATTTTCCGGCGTATAAGACGACTTTTGAAATGAAAAAAAGTCAACCAAAAATCGGGGGCAAAAGACCAAAATTGCACAAAAATTACCTGCAGATCTTGACGGCAAAGTAAGTCTTTTCTTTGAAGTGGGGGGTAATCTTATACAGCAAATATAGGCCCAAACCTATGTTGTTTTTTTTTAAAGGAACTTTTTATTTTATTTTATTTTATATTTTATTGATTTTGTACAGAGAGGAAGGGACAGAGATAGAAAGTCAGAAACATCGACGAGAGAGAGTCATCGATCAGCTGCCTCTTGCACACCCCCTACTGGGGATATGCCCGCAAACAAGTTACATGCCCTTGATCGGAATCGAACCCGGGACCTTTCAGTCCCCAGGCCGACGCTCTATCCACTGAACCAAACCAGTCCCGGTGGCCCAAATCTATGTTTTAACTGTAAAATTAGGGGGTCATCTTATACGCCTGAAAATACGAGAACAATTATAACAATATACTATAATAAAAGTTATGTGAATGATGGTGATATTTCTCTCTCTCTCTCTCTCTCTCTCTCTCTCTCTCTCTCTCTCTCAAAATATCTCATTGTACTGTACTGACCTTTTCAGTTGAAGGAAGCACTTTCTGGCTTCTCTTTGGCATCTTCAAATGGCCAGCATCAGCACTCTTGCACTTGGGATCACTATTAAGTAAAATAAGAGTTACCTGAGCACAAGCACTGTGATACTGTGCCTGATCTGAAAACCATGATGGCTGCGGAGCGACTTACAGGCGGGAGTGTCAAGAGCATGGAGATGCTGGATAAAGGGCTGCTATTCATGTCCCGGTGGGATGGAGCGGGCCAAACGAGATTTCCTCATGTATTCAGAATAGCCGAAAATGTGAATCTTATGAATTATTTATTTCTGGAATTTTCTATTTAATATTTTCAGACAGCAGTTGACTGTAGGTAAATGAAAATGTGGAAAGGAAAACTGTGAATAAGGGGTGGGGAACTGTATTTTCTTTACATGCTCATTAATTTAACAGTTTTGTTTTAGTATGATTCATCATGACAATGATACTAGTCATAATACTATTACCGTTAAAAATTGGCTAGTATGTCAACTAACTAATGTATAATTAAATACTTGACTGTGTTATAAAACCACCTTGTTATGAAACACAATAAGCAATTACTTATATTAAACTCATTAAGACCCAAAACAATTTCAAAGAAAAAGGCAAGCACATTCTCAAAATAGTGAACCTCTAAGCACTCATCATGTGGCAAGAATGCTTCATGTGTTAACTCATTTAATCTTCATGACAGTGTTGGAACGCTAATACTATTATTCTCCCATTTTAGAGAAAAGAAGATAGTGTCACAGAAAGATCCATAGCTTACCCAGTGGGCATGGCTGAACCCAGGCAGTCTGGTGCCAGGACCAGAACTCCTCTACCATTCAGCTATGCCACTACTTGGTGACACCCAGAATCTTATATAATAAAAGCCTAATTACAAATTGCTCAACTGGGAGTTTGACTGCTCACTATGATGTGCACTGACCACCAGGAGGCAGTGTGAACATGGTGGGCATCAGCTACATGGCACTGGCAGCACTGGCAGCAATGGAGGTGCTGCTGGCCCCATGGGCCCCAACAAGAGCGGGACTGCAGTGGGATGGTGGAACAGGTGAGGGGGCAGCCCCAGGCCAAGGTGGGTGTGAGCAGGGGCCTGATCATCCTGCTGATAGCCTGCAGACTGGGAGCAGCCCTGGGGTGGAGGGGGAGGACTGCTGCCTGGCTCCCAGGTGCTGGGGGGGGGGTGGGGGGAAGGGTGGAAGCCAGCCCTGACTGATTCCCCTGCAGGTTGGATGGTGGAGCAGGTAAGGAGGGTGCGGGGGCCTGATGTGGTGAGGATCTCCCTTTTCCACGTCTCATACAGAAAGAGAGATGAACAAACCGGTTCTAAGTGGAGGCGGCCAGGGATTGAAAAATAATAGAAATAAAGAGAGAACACACAGAGATAGATTTTAAGCTGGGAGCTGGGTGGGCCGCCATTCTGTCTGCTGGAGAGGCAGGAAGATGATGATGATGACCCCTCCCAGCACATTTATTTTATATCCCAATACCAGGAAGTTATCACCAACTTATTTGCATTCTTAAGTAGGCCCTAGCATTCCAGTTGCTTGTCTTGATTTACATATCTAGTCCCAACCCTGTGACACCTGGGCTGATATGAAGGCCAAGCTGATTATACTTTCCACCATCTTGAGGAAATGTGTATTCTAGATGCAGCTCTGCCAATCATCTTGGTCTCAGCTGACAACAATTAAAAGAAATGCCCATGTGCCTTCCCCAGTGGCCCTCTACAGGGGGGTGGCTCCAGGCCACGGTGGGGTGCCAGGTGGGGCTGTGGGGCTGTGAGGCTGGGGGCATGAGCTGGGGCTCATTCCCCACAGGCCACCCCGAGGGACCCCACCTGTGCATGAATTTGTGCACCAGACCTCTAGTCATAAATAATAGCTCAGAAGGAGTCAGAGGTCATTTATTCAAGTTTTTTTAAATACACATAACCATTGTTCTCCAAAGCCCGTCAATAAAACCGCACTGGTGGCCAGTGAGTTTGCCACAAGAACAGAAAGGGGCTTTCTTTATCAGACTTCCAAAGTTCTGGTCCCAGGAAGACTGGGCCAGGGGAGACAGATGCACCATACCCAGACGCTACTCCCCAGTTGTCACCTGGCAACCTTCTGAGTGCTGTTTGGCTTTTCACGTCAGTCTGCCCAAAGGGAGAGAATGCTCTGATTACAGAAACAGGAGTATTCTAACCCCCGACACAGTAATGTCCTGTTATAAATTAACAGACTGATATTCATCTGCATGTGCTCTGCCCTAACAGCTGAACACATCACATCCTGCATTATGCGTCAGAGGAAGGAGCACACCCTGCCTGCACTCAACGTCCCTCCCTTTCCTGAGCTTCTCACTAAACCTGGACCAAACCACTGTGCTGTAGAATGGAATGTCTCCAGGAGGCTCCACCTTTCCTCAAACAACTAGACTCCTGGTGGTCCACCCTTGGGTTCCCATCTCATGTCCCCCAGAACGTCAGGCCCTCCCAATCGGTCATAGTCACAACAAAATCCTAAAAGCAGCAATAACAATAGATATATCAAATTCTGGCATGGTGATGATGAGGAAATGAAAGTTAAGAGTTTATTTATTTTAAAAAATACTTTATACTTACTGGAGGGCATGTTTCTTGATTTTAGAGAGAGAGGAGAAAGAAATAGAGAAAGAGAGACATCAATATGTGAGAGAAGCATGGCTCCTTTGCTAACTGAGCCATCCACCAAGGGCTGAATGAAGCTCGGAGTTTAGATGGCCAGCACACAAGGAGACACAGCTGGTGACCAGTTGTAATTTTGTGCTGCCCCCTAGTGGTCTCCTGTTAATATCCCCACTTCCCTTCCCCCAGAAGATGAAACAAAATATTAATAGATAAATTAACTGATTCATAGAAGAAATGAGAAAGAAATCTTATACGTAGTTTACATTAGTTTTCAAACTAGTTCTTTCGAATGTTTTTAGGAATAATGAGCCTATCATAAATTCTTCTAATTTAGCTAAACTGCCATGATTACGTTAAATTTAAAAGGCCCCTTTGAGGATTATTTGGTGCTTTAAAAGGTGAGAAAAATAAACACAATACCATTGGAAAACAGTATAGTGTGTTTTTGCCTGCAAATTATGTTCAAGGGACACCCTGGAATTATTTTCAAGAGATACCCTTAGAATCTTAGGATTCTGCCTTTCTAGACTATATTGTTTGTAAATTTTATTGACCTTCAAGACTATGAGAAGGACTCTAATATTGGCTTTATATTACTGCCATATAAAAATACTGTTTCTCTTTAAAGTCTTTCAAAGAAATACACTGCACTTGGCCTATGTTCTTTTCATTCTCTCCTATGCCCCTAATAATATATATGCATGCAAATACCATGTGACAATATATCAAGTGGAATTCCCACTTTCAATCTGAAGCTTCAGAGATAAATGTCCAAAATTTCACATATAACATATTCACACTCACACGTGTATACACATGCATGCATGTACAACTAAATATTAAAGACATTCTTCTCAAAAGCAAACCCACATATTGTGATTCAAGTTGAAAACCTGAGTGTAACCTTAGAAACCATCGTTCCAAATTCACAAGCCAAGAACAAAGGGTTGATGTCCTTCCCCCCCTCAGTTTACCCTAAGAGATAGTGGGTTCTGGTGACTCAAAACTTTGCAAAATCTAAGTTTAAAGCAAGTTTTACAAAGCACTTGAACCCAAGAGGAAATAGCAATTCAGTACATGCCAACTCTTGATTGCAATCGACAGCATGGTCTGGGGATCAACTGTTCTTCACAACAGGTGCAACAGATGGTGCCACCCTCCCCTCCGGCCCCCCTTCCCGGCACACATGTGACTTTGTGCTGCCCTTCACCCGTGGGCACAAAAGCTACCACTTACTTTGATGAGTTGTGTTCATCTTTTGGGAGGGCAGAGGGCTCAGTCTTGGCCCTTTTCCCAATGGCTTGGGTGTCCATAGTGAAGATACGAGGAAGTCTCCAGGTCACACCACTGTCATTAGGCTGCGAGAATAAAAGAACAAACAGATCGAGCCTCTGCAGGTTCACTTTAGACGACGTGTGGGTTCTGTGGTTTTCTTCTCATAAATTTGTCAAACTATGATTTCCTCTGCGTTGGAAATAATGGTGTTGGTAACATGGGAGAGGAGATACTCTGCCTAGTAAATCATGGTGGTGTTTGCAGAATGCTTTGAACAAAATCTGCCTGAGGCAGAAATGCTGAGATATATACATAACAAAGGGGCTCTCTTATAGCATAGGAAAATCCAGTCAGTTGTTTATATAGTCAGAATCATTTAGGCAAAGACAAGTGAGTAGAGGCTTAGAAACAGCGTCTATTAAAAAAGTGAGGATTTGTAGTCCAAATGGTGACTTAAATTACCCCAAATACATGACTTGTTTTGAAAATGTCAGCGATGTAGGCAATCACCTATTTTCCACCTCCATTACTTGTAAATTATAAGGGGAAGGCTTCACACTATAAACTTCACAGAGAAAATCCTCCTTATCGTAAGTAAGCACCGCTGCTCTTCATTGGTTTACTAAAGGAACCGGCAGTGTAGGAACATAGCAAAGGCTTTTGGCAGAGTTAAAAGCCCCCAGTGAATTCACAGGAATCCCTTTTACAACTTGCCTCATGGCTGTCAAATAGGTTTTCCTTAACTGCTTTCAGCAATAAGAAAATCGCCATCTCAAAGGGCAAGTAATTCTGTTTTCAAATAACTTGAATCATTAGACTTTTCTTTCTCACTTTAAGGTGAAATCTATCCCCTGTAACCTCCATCCTCTGGTCTCCTCTCTGGAGCTATAAAAATAAGAGTTGTTCCCCTTCTATGTAATAGCCTCCTAGATCTTCAAAGTTCACTCTTACATTCTGCCCAAGTCTCTCCTCTTTCCTAGTAAATATCCTATTTCCTCAAAGAATGAAGAACATAATCAATCATTGTGCTCAAGTTTGATCTTTTGAAAATTCAAGCACATTCCTGCATCTTGAAACTCTTTTCCTCTTTTATCTCCGGGTGTTTTCTCTCTGACAAACAAGCAAGCTAGCAAATGAATTCCCCTTCCCTCCCTCTCTCTCTCTCATTATATTCTAGTTTTCATTCTATTTCTCTTTTCTCTTTCAAAGTCAGTTTCTTAAAAGGTATTTTGCACTCACTTTCCCCATTTCCTCTCTTCCAAAGCCACTGCGATGTGGCTTCTGTCCTCATACCCTGCTGACGTTATTTATGAAAGCATCACTGCTGACCCTTGAAGGTGAGTGGCAAGGTGGCCCCAGAATGGGCCTATGTGTCAGGCTGATGTGGTTTCTTGGATCCACTTGCTCCTTGTGTGACCTTGGCAACATATTTAACTTCTCAGTCTTCATTTCCCCTTTGATGAAATAGATTGTTGTGATGACCAAATAAGATAACGTAGGAAGCCTGGTTTGGCTCAGTGGAAAGAGTGTTGGCCTGTGGACTCAAGGGTCCCAGGTTCGATTCTGGTCAAGGGCATGTACCTTGGTTGTGGGCACTGGGGATGTGCAGGAGGCAGCTGATTGATGTTTCTCTCTCATCGATGTTTCTAACTCTCTCCCTCTCCATTTCTCTCTGTAAAAATAAATAAAATACATTTTTTTTAAAAAAGATAAGAAGAGTGTTAAAGGCCTGGGCTCACAGTTGGTGAGCAACATTTGTAGCAGTTTATTGTTAGTATTTTTATCATCATCATCATCATCATCATCATCATCGCTCTCACCAGTGGCTATCAGACTTCAGAGCACATCAGAACCACCTGGTAGGCTTGTAAAAACAAATTTTGGGGCCCCAACCCCGGGGCTTTTAATGCAGTGAGTCTGGGCTGGGGCTGA